GTATTTTGAAAATAATGAAGATCAAACAAGGACTAAGGATTGTTCAAAGCAAAAGCTATCGATCCTGATGCATTATATTTCAGTTGTACGCTTTTTCATCTTTCTTGTTTTGAATTAACTTTATTTCATTCATGTTGGGGATTGTTAGAATTTTAGGGCAGTATAGAGATTAAAATGTTAGAATAGAAAAGTCTCCAATAGATGCATCGATTGGATACGAGTCTTCGAATGCAAAATATGCATAATACAGAGTCACAACTTTTTTGCTTAGGTGCAATCCACACTTTCAATGTTAAAAAAGATGTGATCTAATGGTTGGGATTAATTTTGCTAAAAGAATGCGATCGTTAGAAAGAGATACGTAACAATCTATAAATAGGACTCTTTGAGTTCCATTTTTCCTACTCCAAATCAATCCAAATAATTGATTTCCAGTTCTTTCCTCTCTAAATCATGTAAAAAAAATTTACAAATTATTTTTGAGTTTCGTGTTTCATATTTAGTATTTGATATCTTCCGTTCTAAAAGAGTACATTCAAGATTTGGTTCACAGGAAATTTACTTGAAATTTGATCTTCAGTGGTAAAACTGGTGTTTTCCATTAAGAAATGACCTTAAGCATAGGCATTTGAAAGTTATGGAACTTTGAGTGCTAAAAATAAAAAATTCGGGACCCAACGTCAAAAGGTTCAAATGTTAAAAGTCCCAAGTGCTATTTACTTGAACTTTTTAAGTTAAAAATTAATTTTTGGTGTCAATAAATTTTTGGTGTCAATATGACGTTAAGTGAAAAGTTTGATGATCATGGTGACACTAAGTGAAAATTCCGAATCTCATGAGTGTATTCAACCCATAGATTTATTGGAAAAAGTGACGAGGGAGTCTAATGTTAGATAAGTCTCAAGAAATCAAGAGAATTGAAAGAATTGAATGAAGCGCATATTAGGGGAATATTTTTGACTTAGTAGTACATGTGAATATTGGACTTGCCTTTGTCGAATTCCTAATAGGAACAAAAATTTAACTCCAAAAATTCCAAGTCTTCTCTCTCTCTATATATAACAAATAAAAGACTTGAATCATCTGCGGCAGCCAAGTCTTGATTTCAGCCTTCTAGATTAATTCCCTAACGAAAAAAAATATAATGTAAAGATTATAAAATAATAATATTTAAAAATTAACGGAAAAAAATAGATATAATTAAAAAAATTAAAAAATCTTCAAAACCCTTATAAAATATAATAACAAACAAGCAAATTAAGCCTGTGATTTTGAAATAAAATCTATTTTGGAATAGTGATTTTTTGGACAATGCATAGTTAAACGATAAGTAAGAGATTTGAGTTCATGTATAATATTATTTTATAGAAAAATGTATAATTAAAAATGAGTTTTGAAAAATACACTTTATAAATAATGGAGCCCAAATATAGAAACTTTAGTCAAGTTTACTTAGTTTGATGAGAATGCATAGATGATTTTAAATTCGTTCAAAATAAATAAAGAGGGGCATCTATCTAAACTATATATTCTGATCAACTTTGAATAATTTAACAAGATTGCTCATATAATTCTGAATTTGGGTAGAAATGCCAAATAATAATAATAATAATAATAATAATAATAATAATAATAATAATAATAATAATTATTATTATTATTATTATTATTATTATTATTATTATTATATAGGTACTAATTTTAATAATTAGATATTTAATATCAAAAAAAATAAAAGCTATAATTTTTTATTTTTTATTTTTTTTAAATACCCTTAACAAATCCAATTCCCACGTCACTCAGGAAAAGTACGCCTCATCAACCCTTCATAAAATTGCTACCAAACACGAGCCAGTCACCGTCGTTAAATCTCGACTTTCTTCAAACTTCCCTTGCACACACAAAATTCGTAAGCTATTTCAACAATTTAAATAAATAAATAAGGTAAATTTAGAAAACTCAAAATGAGTATATTATATTTATTTCATATATGAGATCAACCACCTATAAATCTAGACTTGGTTCATCCCGTTGTGGACCTGAATTTAATGATTGGACATTGTTTTTAATTTTAAAAATTTAAATATGATTTATAATTAGTTATAATTGAAAAATTAATAATAATATTCTAATTGTTAGTTTGAAGCGTTAAATTGTTGATTCCCACCCAACACCAAATAGTTGCAAGTAGCGTGTAACGTCCGAAATCTATTTCATTGACTTGAAATGTTCTCAAAATTTTCTTTATCTAATTTAAGTGAAAATTTACTCTTATTCAAATTTTGAGATTTGATTGATGATTCGATAATGATAAACCAACAATTTAAGTGAAAATTTTCATATTGAATAAAATCTTGAAATACTATAATTTCAAACTGTCAATTTAAATTTAACATAGAATGTCAAATGCTCTAATACTAAAAAAATTACTAAAGTAACATACACAAAATTTAACATGAATATGTTCAAATAAAATTTGGCAATCATTCTTAGAAATTTTACTTGACGACCCCATAAGTATCACTTGGTCAATCTTTTATGCATCCACACGACCCGTTCTAATTTTAAAGTTATTGTCAGAATAAGTATTTTAAAAGTTCTTAATAAAAATACGTGCATATACTTATTAACATGGTATAAATATAAAATGACGTAACATACTGACATTTCTTAGATTTAGAGCAAATTGGTCAAAATATCCAATATCTCAAAGAATTTCTTTAGAATTCTTATATTCCGTAAGATTTACATATGTGACTTGATGGTCTATTCCGAAGGATTTAACATAAAAATCGACTCTAAATATCAAGATTTATATATAAATATCAAGAGAATAATAATTTACCAATTTTGCACTATGTATTCTTTACCTCAATTGACCTGAAAATAAATTCTTAAAATATGACTTTTAGAATAATAGTAAAATAAATTATTTCTAATAGAATATGTAAATTTATAAGAAGTGGACTTGTGTTTTTTGAAGGAAAAAATAAATAAATAAATCAAATAAAAAAAACAAAAAACTTTAATCAAACCACTTACATATATATAATCTGACACACTACACGTAACACCAAGGCAACTAAAACGACATTTGAACTTTAACATTTAAATACCAAATGCATTTGAGGTAAATGGAAAAATTTATGAGATTAATTAAAATAATTATTATAAAAAAGTTAATGAATTAATTATGTTTAATACATTAGATTATAATATTCTTTCAAATTCGAATGTAACCGCACTGAATTGAATTGAAAGTTTTGTTTTATTATTTTATTACTAATTGTATTTTTTTATTAATAAAATACAGTATTTAGAATACTTTTTTTCCATCAAAACAACTCGAATACAATTAGTTGGAAAATATTTATTTTTTATCCCAATTTATGCTATTTATCACGAGCTACAAAATAAGTATAGCATTGATATATTTTGTCAACTTCTAAAATATTTAAATATTCAACCCAAATAACTTACAATAAATTCTAAAAAATAAACATAAGTAAATAAATTATTTATGCAAATAAGTGGATCCAGTTTATTACTTTAACTTTTGGATTTTAGTATGACAACAAAGCTAGACATTAATTATTTCATTTGCTAAATGACCAATATTAAATTTAGCCTCTGTTTGATTTCCATTGTTTTAAACTCTTTTTTTTTCTACAGGATTTTTTTAAAATCATACATTTACACAATAAAATATTATACATATAAACCCAAACTTTTTCCTTATTTTTTAACAACACATTCTCTCAAAAATACTATTCAAAACTCTTTAAAATGAAAACAATGACCACGAAACAGGGTATTAGACTCATATGAAAATAGTAAGAAAATTCAGCATATTACATACCTCCGCGATTCACAAATCCAAACCCTAGCCTCCACTCATCACTTCACTCTCGCCACACTCTCAAGCACAACAAACATTCACCATAGCCCTCTTTCTTGCTTAGTCTCCATCCATTTAACGTCACGAGATCAGATCCAAACCCTTGGACTAGGAATAGTAGGAACCAAGGTTGAAATTGATGTTTCAACATCATATTGCGGTTGATTTAAAGATTGAGGTTGCTGAATGACGATGGAGGCTTGGTAGTGGTGCAGATCTGGTAGTAGGGCCATGGTGATACAATTTTGTGTTTGTAGAGGTGATGGTGCTGAATTGGGAAAGATATGGTGACGAGATGTAACATAGTATGTTCCAAGTTGCAACAATAGTGTAATACGATTTATTACAAGTGTGACGGAAGCAGTGAAAATATAACACGATATGTTTAAAATTGGGATGATAGTAGTCGAAATATGCGATATAAGTTTGTGAAACTTTCACTAATTTAAAAATTTGTATTATAAATGGGATTATAGTACTACGGATGGGAGATTATGTGACAAAATCGAGTCAAGCAAATTGGTCAAAATCATGCTCGATATAGGCCAATTTATTATGATTGGTCAGCATATGAATGGTTCCAATTGGATCGATCTAATCTTTAAATGGAATGGTTCCTCACACATCATCAAACTATAGTCAAGCCCATTATTAGAAATTACTTTTGTAATTAACTCTTAATTGAGTGAGTCAATTTATATTTCTAGAAAACATTTGATTAAATCTAATTATATGATCATGTTTGAATCATATTCTTTAAAATATATATATATTTTAAACAATAATAATATCATTTCAATCACATATTTTTTAATAAAATAATATTATACGTAAATTTAAAATTTTTTCTTATTTTTTAGCCCCCGTTTGAGCCCCATTTCTTGGAAATTATAATGTTTTGAATAGTATTTTTTTGAAAAATGAGTGGTTGAAAAGAAAAGAAAAGATTTTGATTTACTTGTAATATTATTTTATTGAAAATTGTGTAGTTAAAAATAGGAGAGAGAAAAATTTAATTTAATGTAATGAGGAATAATGGGGCTCAAACGGGACTTAATGATACATTCTTGATTAAAACTCTGTTCAAAAATGAAAAAGTGACACAAGCAAGCGCATAGTATAACCATTGAAAGGTCGTAATGAAATCGCTTTTGAAGTCACGATTGTCTGTCCTATCTCCTTAAAAAAATCTTTTCTGTTCTTCCACCAAATTCAAAACCTTGACTTGATTCCTCCGTGATTTTAGATACATAAAGCACAACTACATATAGAAAAGGAATTGATTCGTATACAGATTACAGTGTTATAATGGAAATGGAGACTAGTACAGTAACTGTCAGAGAAGAGGACGAGAAAAAACCAGAAACTGATTTGAATGAAAACGAGCTAGGAAATGATAATGTGAAGAATTTGAAGAAGAAGAAGAAGAAGAGCAAGTTTAATTTTATTCCCAAGTTGGGTTGTATGAAGCTGAATGACGAGTTCCCGGCGGTGGAGGAGAAACCCGACGTTGACGGAAGTTTTGACGTGGAAGCTGGTAGCAGTCAGAAGACTTGCGAGCCGAATCACCTTATTGTTATGGTTAACGGAATTATTGGAAGGTTAATTTATATTACTGATACTAATAATAATATGATCTATAATTTGATGCCCTGAATCTGGATTGTGAATGAAGAAAAATCGGATTTTTGGAGTATTTAACAAAATATTTATGTATTTATTAGTTACTAATTATTGTTTTTACTTTACATTTTTGCAGTGCTCAAAATTGGAGATACGCCGCCAAACAATTTGTCAGAGCCTATCCCAGTGATGTCGTTGTACACTGTAAGTTTTATCTTCACCATTTTTGTGTTTTTTCTGAGTCTGTTTGAAGATCCAAATCATACACCTTTTTCATCAGGAAAATATAGTTGAGCTAATAGGGTAAATGATGGATTCGAAAAGATAAAATTTTCTATGAAGGTTATTCAAGTTATACAAGTTATGTTAATATTATTCATTAAATCAAACCTTTTTTTTCCGGTAGGTGAAAGTTTGTGTTTCTAGTTGCCACGACGTTTTTATCATATATACAGAGTAGTGGTCAAGAATATGTTATACGTTTGTTCTATAACTTAGCGAACTAAAGATGGATACTTCCCTACTGAATTGAAAATGAATAGGATTAGAACTAGAGTTTCAGTTATTTTGCATATATAAACTTTAACAAGAGTAAAAGAGGCCAACTATGAGTCATCCATTCTTTTCCAACTTCATCAGTGCTTCTTCTGGTTGCACAAATGAGGCAGTTACAAGTTCACTGCGGCTGCAGGGATGGACAAAATCACGTGGCTTGGTAAGCTACTTTTGGTGAATGACAAAAGAAAGTGGCATAGACACATTTAAAGTACTCACTAGCAAGTACTTATTGTATTAACAGAAGCATTGAACTAAAGCAATTCTTGGTAGGATGACACA